GCGTTGCGTGATTAGTGACGAATGCGGAGAGAGAACAAAACAAAACGCTGGTCACTAATTAGAAGTACAAACCGAGGATTTGTAAAGAAAAATGTTGGAGGATTTCGATATAAACCAAGAGGAGACTGGTTTTCCTTTGCTAAAGTAAGGAAACTTTGGTCCTATAAACAAACTCGCGAGACTAGCGTATCTCAGAGGCGCGCGCGGTGCGCATACGTGCTGCGTCATCCGCCGGAAAGGCTTCTGTGTATGACAGATGATGCAAGTGAGAGAAAAGTGTTTATTACATTTGAAATATGGATATTTTTCTTACATAAACGCATGAATTCACTACAGGAGGCCTTTATTCACCCCCCCGGAGCGGTGTGCGGCACGTTTTATTATGAATGTGCGCGCTTTATTTTGTGGACTGTTCAACTGCAACACCCGCTGACTGCAATGATAGTGCTTGGAATAGCCAGGACAATTTTTAATATAACTCCGACTGGATTCGTCTCAAAGAAGAAAGTCATATTCACCTAGGATGCTTCGAGGGTGAGTAAAACACAAGCAAATTTGGGTGAACTAACCCTTTAATCCAGTCATCGCAACGTGCTCTGTAGGCCACTGTGTTCCCTGCATGTTCCTTTAAATAGGATTCTTTTAGGTGCTTTAACATGAGCAATAACCCGTGGCATCAAAAGTAAATGCACTTATTTGGATACAGATAGAGCTACGATGTCAGTATGGTCTTGTTGGTTGATATTTCAGCCATTGGCACAATCTGTCTGATTGTTGTCTGTAATGGGGTCTGAAATGCTCCAGTTTGTCAGGAAGGGCTCTTCAAGATAATGTCTTGGGAGACATACATGATATCTATCCTGTGATTTAATTTTCTCATCAGAATCTAGCTTGCAGTCTATTAAAATTACATTTGGAGTGGTACAAATTTCTCCCCAGAGACCCTAAATTTCCCTTCGGAGATCAGTAAAGTGTAACTACCTGTCTCTGTATTGTACCATTGACTTTGATCAGACCTGTTTTCTTATTGATATTAGCTGCTCCTGTTCATGTCTGTAATTACAGTGCCTTGATTAATGTAACGGATTCAAAACCACATTCTTTTGACAAGCTTTACATGTGAAGTTCTCAAGGGTCTTTAATCAATGCACTTATAATAGGTCATCCGTTGCTTATCACCCTGATTGGATTTTCAGGGTGTCCTCCAAACAGACACACATCATTTGCTTACATTAGAGACCTGCCCTCTGAACACTCATGATCTAATCAGTGCATTGAGAATCAAAAGTCTGCAAATCAGCATAACCGCTTCATGCCATGTGTGCATCGTGCATGTGTGTGGGCATGTCTGTCTGTTTGAGTCTGAGTTTGTGCCTGAGAGAGGAGAAACGAAGCGGGGGGAGTGAATGCAAATTGGTTAATGCTGCCTCGTTTTCTCAGATTTGCATCACAAATTCTGTCCCAATAGAGTTGGCTTTTGCAGCCCAAGTCTCTTCACCCTCTTCCACATGTTGGGCACGGCTGCTGTGTTTTCATTTGATGCTCAGACTGTTAGATTTCCAGAGCTTTTCTCTTATTAATCATTTAATCAAACTTGGGCTTGGCTTATTATGCCCAAATAGAAGAACAGAAAGTAACCAGAAAAATGCATGAGGAACTAACAGTATGTTTCAGCCAGTTATCTTTGATGGGCTCAGTTAAATTAATTTAAATATCATTTAAATTCAAGCAATGGATTAAACGGATTCTATCATTCCATTATATTACTTAAAGGGGTCCTATTATGCTCTTTTACAAAGTCTTGATTTTGTTTTGGGGGTGTACTAGAACAGGGTCTCATACTAGGTTGTTCGAAAAACACATTATTTTTCACATATTTTACATTATTACAACACCTCTCTCCCCAGTCTGGCATGAACGGCTTGAATAGTTCCTGTATTAAATGAAGGCCCGCCTTCTGAAATACGAAATGTGCTGTGATTGGTTAGCTGGGCCAGTGTGTGTTGTGATTGGTTAGCTGGGCCAGTGTGTGTTGTGATTGGTTAGCTGGGCCAGTGTGTGTTGTGATTGGTTAGCTGGGCCAGTGTGTGTTGTGATTGGTTAGCTGGGCCAGTGTGTCTTGTGATTGGTTAGCTGGGCCAGTGTGTCTTGTGATTGGTTAGCTGGGCCAGTGTGTCTTGTGATTGGTTAGCTGGGTTGTAGTCCAAACGAGTCGTTCGTTGTAGTTTTTGAAAAGTGATTTCTGTTAAATAAAATATCTCCTTTTGAAGTGGACTTTGAACTTTGTAACTTTGCAGATCTTTTTTATGCTCAAACAGCAACATTACAGACTAACTAAAGTTGAAAAAGTGAAAAAGCTTAATAGGATCCCTTTAAAGGGATAGTTCACCCAAAAATGAAAATTCTGTCATTAGTTACTCACCCTCATGTCGTTCCAAACCCGTAAGACCTTTCGTTCATCTTCAGAACACAAATTAAGGTATTTTGATGGAATCTGAGAGCTCTCTGACCCTTCATAGACAGCAAGGATATTACCATGATCAAGGCACAGAAACGTAGCAAAGACATTGGTAAAATAGTCCATGTGACAAAAGTGGTTCAACCGTAATTTTACGAAGCTACGAGAATGCTTTTTGTGCGCAAAGAAAACAATAATAGCTTAACTTATTCAGCGGTTCTACTCCCGAGTTACCGTCTTCTGCCATTTTGGGGAGTACCCCAGAACGTAATCAATGTAATGAGCGTTGTTTACGTTCAGCATGCGCGCGCTGTCTACTGAACATAAACAATGCTGATTACGTTAAGCGAAAGCGTGCACATGCTGAAAATAAATTAAATAAAACTGTAAATAGAGCAATTTAAGTACATTACGGAAGTGCACTTTTTTTCACCTGGGAAAAACTGCTCTAAACAAAATGCTTGTGAATATGGATGCGAGAGGACAACATTTTATTGGTGGAAACACTATTATGGATTATGGACTGGTATTTTGCCCAGAACCGACAGTTTCAAGTGACACATTAATAATGGTTTTGTTTTTTACGAACACAGTTAATTGATGGTCTGGACTTGTGTGGATCACATGTGGATTATTGTGATGTATTTATCAGCTGTTTGGACTCCATTGGTGAGCAAGTGATGTAATGTTAAATTTCTCCAAAATCTGTTCTGATGAACAAACAAACTCATCTACATGTTGGATTTTTAGCAAATTCCCATTTTTGAGTGAACTATTCCTTTAGGGAGCCTCATGAATGTTTCATTAAATTAATACTTTTTTTAAAATGCTGATGATATTCTGTATGAAATTGCAGATATTTATTTTCTGTATGATTGTTGCAGAGAAGAATTAGATATTTAGTCTGTTCACAGACGGAATCTAGATTTGAACTTGGATGAGAGATGAGACAAAATAGTAAGCTGGTTATGCACTGCTTGTGACGTCTTTGCTTTTGAACAACTTGCAAAGAAAAATCCATGGTGTCTCTAGAGACTAGCTATTTAGCTTTTCATCACTTGTGTTTTTTGATTAACATGTTATGTACAGAATGCCTTCAAACGTGTGAGAAAAAAGAATGTTGACTCTTTTTCTGTCTTTCTCAGAACTCCATGAACCTTCCTCCGGATAAAGTGAGGCTCCTTAGACAGTATGACAATGAAAAAAAATGGGAGCTGATATGTGATCAGGTGAGAGAGTCTGTTTACATGCATTCTGCATATTGAGTGTCAGATAAGCCAGAAAGAAATTTTACAGAACTGTTATATAACCTCTTAGTCAGAGGTTGTTACAGCTGTCTTTTTTTCCTTTTCACAGAAAATTCAAGTCTTTATTATACCCAATGTTAACTCTATAAAGCCTAATGTATCATATTTGATAGGCAAGTTTCATGGCCTCTAAATTATCAACATGCTCAAACTTTGCTAAAAAACCTGTTGTACAAAATCTACTTCATGCCTTTTTCATCTGATTGATAGTTTTTAGCACGTAAAAGACCTTTTATTATAATTCAAAAAATGTCCTCCTTTAGGTTGTGGTACATGTGTCTTTTTGCGGTGAAATCTTATAAACCGTAAGAATAACTTTTATATTGTTTGTGATATTTCCAGAGGAAAACTTACTGGACTGAAGCAACTTGATTATCAATGTTTTTTTTTAAATTAATAATAATGATGAAACGGTAGAGAAATCATATTAAATTGTCAGTATCAAATATGAAAAATTAATATGTACATCCCTTAATCATCTTTGTATTGCATGACATTATATGTTTGGCTCCCCAGAATAAAAACTACAGAGTTTCAGTTATAAACTAAGTATAATATCATAATACTATTGAGAGATATAGAGTGACAATTGCTATTTCTGTGCTTTAATGTTATAAAGATCTCACTGATTTACATTACAAGTAGGGATGCAACGATTATAGATTTTGTTGGTACGATTATTGTCTGAGGAATAATCACGGTTTTACGATTATGACGATTATTATGCATTTATTCATTTCCCAACATTACTAATGTATAAAATCACATGAACACTCTTTAGATATTAAAGTGTTATTTATTGCTGGCTTTTGAAACAGAAATAACACAGTAACCAACAATACAACACACAATAATAATAAACAAAAGACAAACAAGTTTCCTTCAAGGTTATAAGTGTAACAGCACTCCTGTGGTGGGTAAAAAATATATAATTTTCAAGATCAGCAAGCTCAAAAAGGATGTAAAAAATAAAACCGTTTAAAAATATATATAAATGTGTGTAACTTTCTGATAAGTTGACAACTTGTTTGAAAGTATTCCACATTCATCATCAAAAAGTTGATGATAAAAGATTGGCATTTGCTACTTTCCAACCAAATCAAGTACATACTTGCTCAGAAGTGGACATCTCTTCCTCTTGACAGAAATTTAGAAGGCGAGTTCAAGAGTCAACTCAAGTGCTCAGAGAGCTGGAGATATCTCTTAGGACCAATCACATCGGGTGAGTCACATGTCCAATGAATCAACCTCAATGTAACATGAATTAAGTTCATTTTAGAACTGTGAAAGGTTTCTTTTGAGTTATTCAGTCGGAGAAAGGTTATTAAATGTTTTGTTCTTCACTTAGGTGGGTGAGAGAGTTTCTCAATGAGGAAAATAAAGGGCTTGATGTTCTTGTGGAGTACCTGTCTTTTGCCCAGTATGCTGTGACGTAAGTAGTTCTTTTGCTTGTCAATCTTAATTTTTGTCTTTCCTGCTGTCTTTTGCTTTCGCTTACCACCTCAGAACACTTTGGCTAGGGGTTGTCACAACAGTCGACTGTTGTTAATGAAATCTTGTCACCCCTCACTGCTAGGTTGCTTTTGACAAAAGAAAGAGGGGTGATGAATTAAATAAGTGCCTCATTTAGCATTGACAGAAGGTTTGATGAATGGAAATGTGCAAGGTTCATATTTATATAGGTCAGTGTGAAAGCAAGATTGAATACGATAAATTGGAATACTGTGAAAAAAGTTTTTCAGCATCTTGTGATGTGATCACCATTTTAGCTTAAAAAGTACCTAATGTTTTATATAAACTAGGGCTGTCAGTTTAACGCATTAACTTAATTATGAAAAAATAACACAATTAAAATATTTTAACGCAGTTAATGCACTAGCCCCGCCCCAGACCTGTACGTCATCTTACATTTCATACAGTTGACTGTTGACATATATGATGCAGGGCAACAACTTAATAAATGCAGTTCTGTCATGACAACTCTCAGAGGGATTGGCATGGTAATGTACATGACAATGCTACGCTGCTGCTGCTGGTGCTGCGGCAGAGCAAGTACCGAGACTTGCTACTGCCAATACATCCACAACATGCTGCTGATCTGTACCAATAAAGCCACAGCAGAACTGTTAAGCATCTGTGAGCAACGTAGCGGTGTTTAGTTTCTGAATGAATCTGCGTTTTGAACGACTTGTGTGAATCAATGATTCAAAAGCCCATTCATAGAGAGAGCCGTTTACTTAAAGGTGCAATAGGTGATTGTCTTCAGAAACATTTTTTGTTATGCTGGTTGAAAGTCTCTTCACATCCCGATAGCAATCATTAAGTTAAGTGGTCTAAATGTATTTGTCTGTATTTATATATTCTGTGGAAGGTGTAGGATCAAGAAATGTTCGTCTAATCAAAATGTTCGGTCCGAGCGTTTTAATATGCTTTCCTACCTGCCTGTCAACGTATGTATTAGCATACCTCTGCGCACCCAATTTGCGCAGACAGGATATGTCATCAGAGCGTTCATGCACGCTGTGCAGACAGAGCGAGGATGGCAGGCAAACATCAACAAGCCGATCTTCCTTCCTGGTATTGTAGTACTTTTAAAGATTTCTCACCGGTGAATGACACATGATGTAGCCCAGCGGTTAATCCAGTCCTCGCGCCAGCTCGTTAGAAGTGAGCTACGTGCATGAACTGTGTTCCGATCGATATGATCCCTACACAGTGTTCATTGCTCCCTACTCCCTGAGCGGGGGAAATCCGTTGAAGTTTACTTCACTTCGGAACATGGGCTGGAATTGGGAACCTGATGTAGCCTATTGTAGTAATGTTGTCTCTGGTCTGTGAGTGTATATGCGTTCAGGGAGCGTGGCTTTGGACGGCGATTGCAGGGAGGGTGGGACGTTCGCTTTCAGTGCTATCAGGCTAAAGTTAGCATTTTCCAAGATCTCCTATTGCACCTTTAATTCCTGAATCAGCTGTTTGAACGAATCGAATGAATGAATGACTCATAAAGACATTCACCGTCACCTGCTGGCAGTTTTAGTTTCTTCTTTAGAGGATGATTTCATTTGAACGTATAGGAATAGATCTGCTACGCTGCTGCTGCGGCAGAGCTAGTACCCAGACTTGCTACTGCCAATACATCCACAACATGCTGCTGTAAGCATGTAAGAAATACTGCTGCTGGTTATTCACACATATGAATAACCCCCCACAAAGCAGGGGACACTTTACACAAAACAATACAAGCCAATATATGCATGCCGCTGAATATAATGATAAACTGCTGCATCAGTGGACATGCATGTATCCACACACATGAAGATGAACAGACAAGGAAAGACAAGACATCCCCCACAAAGCAGATCTATCGCCAAGACATTTGTACTGCTGCTGCTCCGAAGAGCCATGTGAACCGCGTGTATTACTATCTATGTGAGCCTGGCCTACC